TCATCAACGCGTAATTGAAAAATAAATATAAAACAAATTAATAAATAAATCAATCGCGTAATAAATATCGTGACGATAATAATATTGACTCTCGAAAGAAAATTAATTAATGAGAAAAAAATTAAATATTAATTAATTAGGGAAAGAGGAGGGGGGAGGCTCGGGAGTGTTACAATTATTGGAACAATTGATATATTAATGGACGACGACAATGATGATGATGAATAATGATGACGATTATTATTATTATTATTATTATTATTATTATTATTATTATTATTATTAATTATTATTATTATTACTTGTTTGTATTTTCTATTGTCTTCTTTTATTTGGGGTTTATTTTTTACTATTATTATTATTATTATTATTATTATTATTATTAATATTATTACTATTATATATTTCGATTTAAGTGCATTCCACAAATATATATATTACATATATATTACTTTATTTAAAAAAAAAAAACGGTAATTATTAAAGGGAATTAAAATTCTTTAGTGCCAAAACAATCGTAATTAGAGTATTTACATATTATATATATATATATATATATATATATATATATGTGTTTATTTATATACATTTATATACACACATACATATATATATTACTTACGCCTTATTTTATTAATTATAGTAATTATCTTTCTTACTATTATTACCATATAGCGCATTTATTATCATTGCGTATATGGTAATATTAATATAAGGGAGGGGTTGTATTTTCTCCTTTAGAATGAAAAAAAAAAAAAGAAAGAGGGGCGTGAAAGAGTATAAGGGGGGATATATAAATAAAAGATAAAAATGAAAAATGAAAAAAAAAAAGAAGAAAAGAAAAGAAAAGAAATGGAAGGATATAATAAACACTCAGAATTACAATATAATAATTCTTGCTTAGTCAGTTGAAGTACAAATATTTAATGTATTTTGTCATTAGATGATAAGTATAATGAGAGTCTTATTATTATAATGGCATGAAAAATGTTATGTTATTCCATTCCTCGAGAGCACTGGCTTTATTTATATACATTAGTCATTTGATGTAATAATAATAATAATAATAATAATAATAATAATAATAATAATAATAATAATAATACTTAACACGGGTTTTCTTGGGAAATGGGGAGATTGAAGAGGGGTGTGAGGAAGAAAAATTAATTAAATAATTAAATATACTTGCCGCGACAAGGATAAAGATACATAAATACACTCACACACACATTCATACATACATTACATTACATACATACATACATACATACATTTATCTAATTATACTATCTAATATATTTATTTTTGATGACACGTTCCTTTTTCGGAGGTAACTTTATTTACATATCAAATCAACTAACAAATGCGTAGTTGCAAAAAAGTAAATGCGTTGCATATTTAACAATAACAATATAATAACAAACACATAACACGCATGCATGCAATATAAAAGTAAAGTAAAGTAAAGTAAAGTAAAGTAAAGTAAAGTAAAATACATATTATATTATATACATGTATACATTTACACACAGAGATACATAACACGCACGCACGCAACAGTTGCATTCCATTGGTATGCTAAACTGTGAAGTATTGTATTTTTTAGTATACCTTTTGAAGTTCCATGATCTCTTTATTCCCCCTCCCCCATAATTAATTTTTAGATTGCGATTTTTAAAAAGAATTACAATAAAAAAAAAAAAAAAATAAAAAAAAAAACAATTATAAATAACGACAAATTATTACGACGACAATTATGACTATGACGACAACGACGACTATGACGACCGATTTAATGATCGACGAATATAAAAAAAAAAGAGGGCCTTTGACCGTTGCCGCTAATTAAAAAAAAAAAAAAAAMAAAAAAAAATACTACTGGTAACGTTTTATGAAGGATCTAAACAAAAAACAAAAAAATAAAATAAAATAAAAACAAGGTTTAATGTTTGTTCAACCAAAAAAAAATTAATAAAAAAAAAAAATAAACTATATTAAAGAAAAATATATATACATACATATATAAAAGAAAAAGAAAACAAAAAAAAAAACAAAAAAAAATACAGAAGAAAAAAAAAAAAAAAAAAAATAAAAAAAAAATTACAAATATATAAGAAAAAGAACTGTTTTTTCCGAGTTGCTCGCTATTCGAGCAACATCGTAAAGTTACGTTGCATAAAAAAACTACAATTATATATTATATATATATACACACATTATATATACATACATAGTCAGGTTTTCTTGCTTTTTTTCATTTTTTGTTTTTGTTTGTTAAATCTTTCTCTTTTTCTTCTCCCCTTCATCCATCTTTGTAATGCTTTACTTTATTTTTTCTTTTTTTTTTTCTTGTATATAACAATTTGCCATCTTTAAACATATTGAGATAATTAGCTGAGAACAAATGGGGGATGATAATTGATGAGAAAGAGAAGGATAAAATAAAAGATTTTCAAAGAAAGAAAGAAAGAAAAACCTGTTGTAGAACATTTTTGTGAACCATTTTTTTCGTTTTTGTTTTTTTTTTTACCAACATTTAAATGTTTCTTGTATACTCACACAAATAGCAGCAACGAGAGAGTATACAATAATATATTATTACAGTTATGTAAAAATACAATGATATTTAATAATAATGCTGTATTACAGCGAACAGCAAGCTGCAGTAAAAAAAAAAAAAAAAAAAAAACATTTATTTTTAATAATTCGATTATACACATCGACAAAAAAAAAAGAAGAAAAAGAATGAGATGAGACAGATATAAATGTATGGTGGTCCGTGTATTTAAGAAAAGAAATTGCAATTAAACAGAAGAATGTTGTTTTTTTTTTTTTTTTTGAGAAAGAAATGTAATAATAATAATAATAATAATACATCCAATACGTACATATTATACATGTATACATATAATTAATTACTTACACGCATACATTTCCTTCTGTAAATCTTTAAGGATTAGCTATGCGTAAACCATGTTTTCCTGAAACCTCCATTGGTGTTTTACTTAGGATGTGAAAATATTTCACGTTGGCAAACAAAAAAAAAGTCTTTTTTAAATGTTCCATATTATTAACTTCTTGTCATCTTGTACTTGAAAAATAAAACAAAACAAAAAAATGTTAAATGCGCCCGTATTTAAAGAAAAAAACAAAAAAAAAGAATAAATAGAGTACAACTTGAAAAAAAAAGATGAAATAATACTAAAAAGTAATTGAAAAAAAAGAGGAAGACAAAAAAATAGTAAATTATAAAGCAATACGTTATGTGGAGAGAGAGAGAGAGAGAGAGAGAGAGAAAGAGAGAAGCGTGTATATTAATATATTTTTTATATGCTAATGAGACGCCAAGGAACATGGGTCACGTTATAGTAATCTAATGTATTATTTATACAGACTATGTCGTGTCTCTGACTATACATACATATATATGAAATATTATCGGTTGCCTGAGATGATGACGATGATGATGATGATGATGATGATGATAATGATGATGATTATGATGATGACGACGACTACTTACTTAGTCTCTTTACTAAACCACCCATTTACAAAACTTGCTTTTTACAAAACCACTCTCCTCAAATGTATTTTGCTGAGCTTTTTACTCTATCCTCCATTTAATTATATTATTATTTTATTTGTTCTCGATAGTCAATAGTCATTTATCACACATTATCGCATTATATCATAAAAAAAAAAAACCATTATCTCGTTTACTATAATATTATTCTTATTATTGTTATTGTTATTATTACTATTACTATTTTTTTTTATTATTAGTAATATTATCAATTAATTATAATATGTAACCACTTTATTTTCTCCAAAGTTTGTCAACGCTAGTCTACGTATTATTATATTTTATATTAATGTCTCTAATTATTAATTGTTTACATTTTTCTTTTTGTTTTATTGTTATTATTATTATTTTTTTTTTTTGTTTAAATGGCTATCAATAACTTCTTTTTTTTTCTACCTTGTACCTAGGGAAATTTTTAGTTTCTTTTTTATATGAAATATAAAAAAAAAAAAATTTATGGTATTATATTATTATACATATACACATCTCTATATACACTTTTACAAACGAAAAAAAAAAAAAGAAAAATGAAACAAAAAAGAAAAAAAAAAGATATTTTAATCTACATACCGTATTATTATATAATTAAAAGATATATATATATATAATAAAATATTTGCTACTTATATATAAATATATATGTATATGTATATACATATATATAGATATATTTGTCAAAATGTATTATTAGATTGGAAATATTTTACTATAGGATGGACAAAAATTTAGACTTTAAAGAAAAGAAATAAATAAAAATAAAATATAAAGAAAAACAAAACAAAACATAAAAAAAAAAATAAAAATAATATATAAATGTTCTTCGTTAAAATAAATCCATACATTATTTCTCGTGTCATATCAGATCAATTTGCCATTATCTGTCAATTTGTATGCGCTATCCTATATTAAGATATTCTCAAGCGATAATTACTATGCAGTTCTATAAAATTAAATGAAAATAAAAAAAGGAAACGAAAGGAGAAGAAGAATATATATATATATATATAAAAAAACATAAAAAACCATGTAGAGAAACATACATTCTTATCTGCGCATAGGCTGCAATGCAATAATAATAATAATAATAATAATAATATTAATATATTGTGATGCTCACAAAAGCACATTAAAAAAAAAAAAAAAAAAAAAACACAATTTACCAAAATTGTAATGTTTAAAATATTTCATGTGATTTTGGAAAATGTTATATATATATATATCTATGTATATATATATATATATCTTTTATTTCCTGCCAATTGTTTCATTTGTAAACGTTGTTCTTTGTTCTTTTTTCAATAAAGTAAGTAAACCGACCAAATTGACATTCTCATTATATATCTCTTGTTTGTAAGATATATAATTGATTTATTGTTTTTTTATTTGTATTATTTGTGTAATTTTTATTTTTTACAGAATATGTGTCGACTAAGTATATATGTGTGTTTATACAGGGATTCATTATATCACATCTTTCATAATTAAATGAAATTAATATTTTATTTGAAACATTTATTATTAAATTCCTTAATATTATAGATAATATACATCATATATAATAATTACACCTCTTTTCTCCTTCTTTCAATAATAAATAATTAATCTGAATCTGATTCTCGTCTATATTGTTGTTTTGGTAATTCATCTTGCAGTTCTAAAACATGTTCTATAGGTTTAGGTTTACCATCATCTCCAATACGACATGGTTTCACTAATCCTCCYCTAATGAACATAAATAAATAATAAATATTATCAGATTTTTTTTGTTCAATTTATTCAAAAGAAAAAGAAGTAACAAACCTCGTTAATTGATCTACGAGATTAACAAGCTGTAAAGCTTCGTATTCTTTTTGTTCATCCGTCATACCATCCAAAAGATTTGGTTTTGCTTTCTCATAACAACCAGTTACTGGATTTATTCTTAAAATTATAAAATCATAATATTAGAAATATTATCAATTAATTTATCGAAACACTTGATTTATAATTTATAATACGTACTGTTCTTTGTATTTTAAATATTCTTCAGTATCACTGTCTTCAGATTCAGAATATGATATCTTTTCTTGATTACGACCTAATAATCCTTTATTAGCAAACATACCTGCTGCGTTCCCATATCCAGTGTACTTTACCATACGGCTAACTATACAGTTGAACAAATATTAAAGGTATAATATAATGAAATTATAAATTATGAAATAAATACGACATATATATGTGTGTACCATTTTCCTTGCAAAGTATAAAAAGAAATTCAGCAACAATGTCACGTAACTTGGTGATAGGAGATGTTAAAAGTTTACACAATTTAGCTTTTAATGTTGTTCCCTCTTCTGGACGTTTCATTACATCTTTCAATGGTGGTAAAACCTTAAATAATAATAATAATAATAAAACAAAAACATCAATCTTTGTAACAACATATTATATGATAGAATATTTATCTATCAATTTGATATTATTATATTTACCTGTAATCGTACATATTTTCGAACAGATTTGTCTGCTTTTATCAGCCTAATGAGAACAGTAACGACTGGAGAAAGATTCTCTAATTGAAATTCCGTATAATTTAATTTATTATCTAAAAATTCTAATATGACGGATATTGTCGTAACATCAGTATTCTGATATAATAAAATATTATCGTCGTTGTTGCTTTCGCTAGACTGCATCATTTGTATATAATTGTTTAGAGGTATAGCAGTCAATAAATTGATAACATTGCTGAAAAAAAAGAAATAATAATAGAATAAAAGTAATATTTAAGAAAATGAAATGATATCTGAAATATGTCTATTAAATTGAAAGCAATATTTTTTATATATGTCAATAAGTTTTACCTTACAAGATCGTTATTATTTGACCAATTTTTATTATATAAATATGTATACAAAGACGTTGTTAATTTTTTATTATTTTCTTGTTCTTCTATCACTGAATCTTCAGAATGTATATATAAATTAAATAAAACTTTTAAAATGTCACAAATTAAAATTATATCCTCATTCTGAAAGAATCATTTTTCAATAGTATTAATTAACATTTAAAAATAATATTATATATATAATAAATAAAAAATGAAATATACTATATATATATATATAACATGAAACATACCTTGATAGAAAATGATTCATTAGATTTATATTGTTCCAATAATTCATTCAACATATTAAGCAAATAAGTATCGCCATTTAATTCTTTAACTGTATTTCTTGCTGGTGTATTTAATGCAGTTAATATAAATAACATTTTAATATCGAACAATTTCATTTCGTGTGACGAATTGGAATCATACTTGTTGATACGATTAATCAAATTTTCCAAACAATTCTTTTCTATTACCAAACATTCTCGTACTTTAAAACTATGATACAATAAATTACAGAGTACTTTAGCAGATTCTATTGGAACTGAAAAATATAAAATAGAAATAAATAAATAAATGTAATAGAAAAATGTTGGATTGATATTATGAAAAATAATGTTTACCATTAGTAGATTGATCCTGTTCTTCATTATTTTGACAATCCAATTTTGCAAGTTGTAATAACAATGTTACCATTTCTTTACTAACGATTTTATCTAAATCAGTTTTGTCTCGACTGCATATACAATAAAATAAAGAAAAATGTAAATAATAAAGAATGAATCATACTCTTATTATAATCATACAAATAATTATTTTTACCTAAGTATACGTAATGTAGTTAAACAATTAAGATGCATAGATTCGTACTCTGATTTAGATAAATATTTAAATAATATCTTCCAGGTTTCTTCTCGTAACTGGTTATCGCATATTCTTTCATTCATAGTTCTGTCCTCATACTGTTGACATCAATGAATCCAACAAACAAAGATAAAAATTATTTTATTAAATATACATTTTATTTATGTCTTAACACATACATCTTTTACTAAATTTAATTAAATACTAATCTTACAAGATTGTCAGCTTAATATTTAACAAAAATAAAAATAAATAATAATAATTAATATTGATCGTTTTAAATGATATATCAAAGTAACTTACTTTTTTGATAAATATTTGAAGAGTATCTTTAAAATTACAACTTCCAGAAATTAATTTTCGCGCTAAGTCGTCCATAGCAATTGAATTGTTTAATTGTTCATTCAGTTATGATATTTTTTATTTTTCTTATATTTTTCTATAGGTTTTTTTTTTTACATATAAAATTATACATAGATCAATTGGTACTATTTTAATTTCATTAATAATACATTTTATAAATATGGATAAAATATTAATTTACATTTATTATTTTCCTTGCAGCAAAAAAATAACAATTTTTTCTTTTTTCCTTGTCTTAATTTTTAATTCAATTTATTTTCATTACACGATTTATTTATACTAATTTAATTGTAAACATTTAATTGCATTTATTCACACTCTTCTCTGACAAAGTAATTTAACCTAAAACAGCCAAATAAGACAGAAAAATATTTATTTCATCTGTCGTGCGCAAGGTGTTATGCACACGCGGTAAAATATAAAATTAGAATTACGCTATCATAGATAATGAAAGCATAAAAACAATATAATAAAATTATACTCGTCTTTATAAAAAATAATAACAATAATATATTTTAATAATAAATTAGAGAAATGTTCGTCTTTAATTTATTATTACTTTAATATTTGAATAGCAGACTTGAATACACCAGTTAAATTTCCCGCACTTAATTAAGACAATTTTGCGCATGCGCGTGAAAACCAAAGTTTATTTAGTTCATATTTATTTATTAATAATATCATATTAAACCTATAAAAAGAGATTTATATTTTATATTAGATGTAAAAAAAAGTTTATGTATAGAAATTGTTTATTCTACAATCGTTTTTTTGGATAAAAAGAAGAAACCAATCAAAATGTTTCTTAAGGAAAAAGCGGGAATCCACGTGGAGAGGAAAGCAAAAAAATGAAGGTCGGTTGTTTGATCATAGATTTCTTTTATTAATTTATTTGTTATAACATTAATTTAAAACAAAACTAATCGTTGGTAGACCATCAGCAATAACAATAATTCTATTACATTAAATAATTTTGAACTATCAAAGTAAATATTTATACAAATCACGCGAATGATAAAGCACGTAAACAAGGTTAAGTAATTCTAATTTATTTATTTAATATATTTTAATATTGAAATATTGAATATCAAAGGTATAAAATCAGAAGATTAAATATTTGAAAATCAAGAAGGTTTCTCAAATTTCGTGCAACATGAATCACAAGTATTTATACAAAAGACGCAGTTGGAACAATATAAACGCTGGTGTATTTCATCGTATTAAAAAACCTAAACCAAAATTAAAACCTACAAATGAATTATCTAAATCGTTAGAAAAGAAAGAAAATACTAGAAAATCATCTAACGTTAATGGAATCAGTCAAACAAATATCAGCACGCAAATGGTCATCGATGGAACACAAGCTCAATCTAATACACAATCAATTCAAAACAATATTTTACATCAGACAATTAAGCAAGGACCTAATGCACCTAAAGTGACAGATGATTCAAGTTTCAAGTCAAAACATTCAAATGATCAAGTTGGATGTGATGAATTGAAAAAATGTTTCAATAAAGATACATCTAAAACTATGGATTTATGTTTAGACGATGCTACTGATTTGAAAGTAGATAAACCAGAATTTGAAAATATAATGAAAGAGAACAAATTAGATAACATATTGAAGATATTAGAAGACGATTGGGCTAATGATGAATATGATTCGATGGATATTTTAGTTAATGATAATACTCCATTAACATCTAACATTTTATTAAACAATGTTGAAAAAAAAACAGCTTCACCCAATGAACTAAGTGAAATAACATCTGCTATGAATATCATGAGCACATCAATTCCTGATAATACTAAAAATCCTCTATTTTCTTCTACTTTAAACATTGATAATAATATAATGACACTTGAGAAGGAAAACAAAGAAAAATATTATCCACTATTCAACAAAGGTTACTTTATGACCGATGTGTAAGTATAATTTAAATTAATATAATTATGTGCATTTGTTAATGTTACATTCTTCATGTTAAATGTTTCAATTTGTTCCAGAGAAAATAAGAATATAAAATCGACACAAGGAGTTAAGAAAGGAATGAAACGGCAATTGTCATCAAAAGGTGGTGGTGGAGGAGAAAATCAATATCAATTAGATGTTGGTCAAAAACATTTTGGAGCTACACAATGTACTGAATGTGGTATCGTTTATCAATTGGGTGATCCTGAAGATGAAAATGCTCATTTGAATTATCATAATAGCATTAGAACTTTAAGATTTCAAGTAAGTTTAAAATGAACTATCATTTGTTTAATATTTTTTAATATTAATATTCAATTCATTATTATAGGGTTGGAAAAATGAAAGAATTCTTATGGAGGATCCTTTAACGTCGAGTAGAATAATTTTAATAGAACCAACCGATTCTAAACAATGTTGGAAAAAGGTAACCGAAATTTTAAATGTCGTCGACAGAGATTTAGGTTTAGCTGATTCAAATTATAGTGATAAACAGGTAAATAAATATTTTCTGTTGTCATTAGAATGTATGAAGATATATAAATAACTAATTGTGTTTATTTTTAGGTATATTTATACATCAGAGATAAAAACGTATTGGGCGTGCTGGTAGCAGAGCATATAGAAACTGCATTTCGTATGATACCAGAATTAATAGAATTAAATTGTTGTACATCTGAAAAGACACCTGCTAAGTGTGGTATTAATGTTGTATGGACAACAATGAGTCATCGTAAACAAGGCATAGCTACTAAACTTGTAGATACGTTGAGGTATATCTTTTAATTATTTATTTCTACATTTTTATACTATAAAAAGGTTAGGTTTATCTAATCAAATGGTTATTTTGAAAATTTTCTCAGAGCCAAATTTTTCTATGGTTACATAATGTCCTTGGATGATATCGCATTCTCCACACCAACACCCAGTGGAAAAGCATTTGCAGAAAAATATACCAAAAGCAAAAATTTTAAAGTCTACAATTAATAGTAAGTTTAAACTTTCTTCTTTGTATATTGTTTACAGGTTATTAAATAATTTTATCATGATTATTGTTCGTTCTTTTTTTCTATTTATTTTGTTAGAATTACAGGTGTACTTGGACTTCATTGTACAGCTTTAATTTTATCTTTAAGACAAAATTTTCTTCGTTGTCATCATTTTTTACATACAACAAATGCTATCTACAAGTTGGTTACGCACAATGAATTTGAAAAACGTTTTTCTTCAGGTATATTTTTGATATATAAACATAAAACCTTTTAAAAAATTACTTTTAAGAACAAAGATACTGAAGAAAGAATTTTAATTAGTTACGAAATTCTATATGTATGATATATTGTAAAGATTCTACAGATTTTATCTTAGTAAAAGTCAAAATAAATAATATAATTAGAAAAAAAAAATTAAAAGATATTAACAGATAATAATGTTGTCGGTGCAAATATATTTTATGAAATTCATTTAAATTATTATAATAAAAACTTCTACTATTTTCTTTTATGTTTTATTTAAAAGAATGTACATTTGAAATTACTATTATTTAATCTATTCTTAAATACAAATAAAAAAATATAGATTTAGAAGTAGCTAGTGTTCTTTAATTTAGTTATTTAGAAAGTACAAATTAGTTCGTTGTATCGACAACATGTCACTAGTTGTCATTTATATAGATCGAAAAGATCTAGTCAGTGCTGTCAGATCGTGGGTAAATCTTACCCTCTCCCTGTGCCACTGGGATTGCACACAATGAAAGTTTTCCATGTCCGTGTGTTTGGGATGTCGAGGAAAGCCGAGTGTAACCGAAGTTGGCGGTTGGCCACGAAGTGGCACACTATGAAAGCGACTCGTGTCCATGTGTTCGGACGACACGAGTCGCTTTCATAGTTGTCACTCCGGCGTGCCCGCCAACTTCGGTTACACTCGGCTTCTTTCGACATCCCAAACACACGGACATGGAAAACTTTCATTGTGTGCAATCCCAATGGCACAGGGAGAGGGTAAGATTTACCCACGATCTGACAGCACTGGATCTAGTTACTATAGAAATAGATTGAAAATAAAGTAGTGAGATAATTTCGTTTCATTATTATTGTGTTTTTTTAAATAATTCTTCGACATTTTTGTACTTATTATATAAAAACAAGGTTTGTTTGTAAATAATTTAATATGAAATGATAATAATACTATATAGATAATTAAATTAAAATAAAAATAAAATCTGTTTAATCGTCGTCTAACCTAAAAATACTATTTCTACAATATTAATAATTTTCTATTTCAAATTCTTGTTAAATAAATATCGTATTTGTAAGTAACTAAACGTATTATCTTTTAAATATATTTATACATTTATAAGAAAATTTTGTTCTTCAGTAATATTTTAAAAACTTTCTATAAATTATTTTCTAAATCAAATACTTCAGGACATTTTCAATTTGAATAATAATTTCAGAATTTATTGTATATATACATAATTATTTTATTCTTCATCTAAAATACATAGTTTATGTAAAATTCCAAATTATAAACATTACAAAAATATAGTAACAATCTAAGTTCTTATCGATTAAAATTTTACATTCAATATATAAAATACATATTACAATTCATTTTACAAAGTACGTCTAGATTATTATATTCAAATATTTTCTAATTCTATTTATGATAACGTCTAATTTTATTTACGATGTTATGTTTTTGTTTCTTAATTGTTTCTTTTTTTTTTTGCCAAATTTTAAAGGTCTTAGCCATATCATATAATTCTTCTGGCACTTTTTGATGAAAACTTTCTAAAATTGTAATTAAATTATTAGCAACACTTATATTTTTCTCTGTCATAAGTATTATGCTGACTCCAGTTTTATCATCACATATTGCCCATCTACTTCGACGTTTATATTTGTCAGCTTTAAGTGTAAGATCATAATTGTAGACGTACCTATGTAAAGATTATAAAGCATAAATAGGAATAGAAAGAAATAACGTAAAAAAAGAAAAAAAAAATATATATCAAATAAAACATACGATATATCATTAATATTAACGTTATCATGATCAAATACAAAATCAGTTGTAATAATAATTCTTGCTGTTGTTTTTTCTTCTATTTTAAATCTAGCGGTTTTACTATCGTTTATATCTTTTAGACTGAGAATATTTTCAAGATTTATATCTGCTTTACTAAAATTCGATTGTAATTCATCTATTTGAGATGTTTCATTAGTAAATATGATGACTTTTTCTTTCTTATTCATTTTTTGTACAAATTGAAATAACTGTAAAAAAAAAAAATCAATATATTGTATACTAAAAACGACACATTTTATTTATATAAATAAAAGAATACTACTAACTTAACGAAATTTGTTTACTTCACGAATAACAAATTGTACTTCATGGCAAACTGGTCGGACATATAGTTCAATTGGATTTGTCATATATGATTTAGCGAAATCCCTAACTGATGTTGATAAATTAGCGCTATTTGAAATAGTCAAAATATTTTAAACATTCAAAACGTATATTAAATAATAATATGTTATATTTATAAATACATATATATAAAGGTGTCTTTAGTTGAAGGAGACTATTTAAATACTACCTTTAACTAAAGACACCTTATATATTATTTACATACCTAATCATAACAAATTGACTATCTTGCTCTAGATAAGATAAACTTTCTTTGATATGAAATGCAAGATTCATGTCCAACATTTGATCAATTTCATTCAATACAACATATGTTACATATTTTAAATTAACAATCTTTTTATTAATCAGTATATTTAATTTTTGTGATGTAGCTATTAATATTTCTACATTTTGCATTAATGTTTTTATTTGATGATATTTAAAATAGTCTAAGCATATTGAAAGCCTAGAATAATTATTTACACAATTATTATATTCAAATACATAAGAAATAAAACATAAACAAAATTAATCTTCATAAATATATATATATATATATATAATTACTTACGCTTTAATTCCGAAATAAGAAAATCTTTGAACTTCTTGTTGTATTTTTTGTGCTTGTATTTTATTTGCAACCAAGATAAGAACATTAGGACCATTACCATTATGAAAAGAGGTTTGTTTAGAGATATGTATCAAAGCAGGTAACAAGAAAGCTAACGTTTTGTCTAAATAATGATAAAAAGATAATTATATATAGAATAATAGTTTAATATAAATATTGAAAAATATAATAAGAAATATATGATAAAGACCTAATGATGATGGTGATATTCCAAGCATATCTTTACCACTGAGCAATATTGGCAATGCTTGACATTCGAAGGGGTTTGGTTTTTTTAAACCTTGTTCCTTTATTTTCTTCAACATAGTTGGATGATTCTGTTATTACATACAATTTTACATTATTATATTAATTTACAATTTAGTAGTTTTATTTTCATATTTTACTTACGTTGAATGCTTGTTTGAACGTTAATATTGGTTTAGGAATTGGAAAATCGTTATGAAATTCATTTATATATTTAACTTCGATGTTATTATCTGTTCTAATTCTTTTTACAGTTTTTTCAGGCATGTTAACAATAGCTAGATCTTCTCTATATAAGTTCTTGATTATATGAGAATTTTTTAATGGTAGGCTTACATCATTACATTCATCCATCGTCAGACTTTGATAACTATTTTCCTCATTAGATGATAATTTTTTTAAAAATTTTTTAATTAGAATTCTTGCTCTACGTAATGATATTGGAAATCCGATTATAACAATGGTTGGATACGGATTACTTTTATTTGGCATTTTTATCTGTTTATATATAGAAAGAAAATATATATATGAAATGTTTTTTTTTTTTGGTTTATTACACATATTACAGAATATTTAATATTAATATTATACTTACGCGAATTATTGTATTACTTTCATCTTCTAATTTATTAATATTTTCTCTTTCCTTTCCAATAAATCTACTTACAATATTAGCATCTATAGGCATAGTTATAAATGATTTATTTAATCGTAATCTTGTATCACCATTTGGCATATAATTATTTATTGTTTCATTAAGAATAGATGCTTGTCTCTTTAACTGATTATATATCATTATTTTTGCATCTATTATTGCCGTCAAAGTTCCGGTTACATTTATTAATACATTTGGAGTTAAAGTGAGCTCATCTACCTGTTTGTATACATATATAAAGTAGAAAAAAAAGCTATTGATTTTATATATATATATATTATGTTAAATATAGAATATGTTTGATTACGTATTATAGAGAATATTTAATATTAATATTATACTTACAAAAATTTCAGTGTTACTTGCTTTTTCTATATTTCTAATATTAATTTCATCTATATTGAAATCATTTATTTCAATTATATATATTGTAATAGTTAAAACCTTTGTATCATCCTCTTGTAAATTGTTTTCATTGTTTCGTTCATCGTTATAATATTTCATTACTGACCTGAGCTTGTTGCTCATTTTTTTTGTCTTTTTTTTATAGCATCCTGATTTTCTTTTAGGAGATGTACACTCAGGGTCGGTATACCATCCATCTTCCAATCTTCAATTAAAAAATACAAATTTTCATTAGTTTGATTATTATTTAACGTATTTTAATCAAATTTTTTTTTTTTGTGTTTAATTTGAAACTTTATTGAACAAAAAAAATATATATAATATTAGTTAATTAAATAACTATATATAATATAATATAAATAAATAAAATAACGTTCTTACTCAAATACTTCCATAGTCAACAGAATATTCTATTAGCGTCAATTTAATTTAAAATAAAAAAAGTATTTTTGCAGATGGATTTAACAATTCACAATAGAAATGATTACAAAGATTAACTTTTTGGAACTTGTACGATTAGTTACATGTATTTAAAATTATTTAATTACTTAAAATTAGAGATGAAAGTAATGAGGAAAGGTGAACAAAAGAGATGTAAATTTGGAATTGAAATGTAACGAACAATTTGTTCTCTCGATAAATACTTATATTTATACCAAAATAAATATAGCCGATACTTTTTTTTTTTGCTACTAATTCAAAATTCAAAAAATTACATTTAAATGATAATTCTTACCGTAAATATTTTTAAAATCTCTTATTTAATTTGTGACTTAGTTTGATAATTAAAGTACATTATACTTAGATAAAAAGATAAATAATTTGAAATTTTTCTTAAGAAGAATTTTTTTTTAATCATTTTTATCAATAATTTGTTTACAAAAGTTAAAAATATTAATTAAAAGTAATCTAGTGATTTAAACGCTAAAATTAGTTCATAATTTTGACGCTATAGCGCTACTGGTCATTTCCCTGGTAACTAGATGGTAACTACATTAATCAATTGAAGGTAATTCTACCAAAAGTTTCTAGTTCTATGGTTATAGTTTTTGACATTAAAATAAACCAATAAGAATTCGCCACTAAAGAATAAAGGGATAGCTATCGGCTACCGCCCGTAATGGCCGCGGCTTTCGTTTCTGCATCGGTCATTTTTGCTGTGTATCATCAATTTGTTGCAAAAATTTGTTTTGTGTAGATTTACTTTGTCTTTTGTTAATAATCAATTATTAGCATAACTATTGCTAATAAATAAGTTTTTTTACTAATACTTTTAATATGGGCCGATACAGGAGGTATACATACATATGTACATATACATATATATAAACTGTTTCATTATTCATTAATATCTAAACTAGTTGAGTTTAGTTGACAGTAGTTTTAGATAATCAAATGGAATATAAATCAATTCTTTTTTATCTTATAACCTTAAAATTATATTTTTATTTTAATAATATAAATAAACTCTTATGCAAGATTTTTTTTATCAAGTAGATTACATACGTTCTATTTTCACTGTATTAACGTAGTACTGAATTTTCTAACCTATCATTTCCAGCTGGAGTGAGGATTTCAATTATAACAATTAATTATTAATTAGGTGTTATAATTAATGTATTTTGTAAGAAATATCAATGATATATTTTTTAAAAATAATAATTAAATTAATATTAACAATGATTTTCATTTTAGTCGAAGCCGTGACCGTGACAGGAGACGCAGATCAAGAACAAGATCTCGTAGTCGATCACCAAGAGACAGAAGAAATTGGGGCATTAGTTGTGGTCGTGATAGAGGAATCACTGGACGTAACAACCGTGGTCAACCTGGAGCTAATTTAAGAAAACCACGATGGGATCTTAGTCGTTTAGAACCTTTTAAAAAAGATTTTTATATACCAAACGATGTTGTACAGAATCGTGACCCACGTATTGTGGAACAATATAGATGTGATAAAGAAATAACTTTGAAAGGAAAGAATATACCTAATCCTGTCTTTACATTTGAAGAAACAGGCTTTCCTGATTATGTACTTAAAGAAATCAAGTAAGTTTAGAAATAATATATTATAAACAGTTTATTTATATCATATGAAATGTATAATTTAATGACATTTTCAAATCTATTCTTAGACGGCAAGGTTTTAGCGAGCCTACATCAATTCAAGCTCAAGGATGGCCAATTGCTTTGAGTGGACGAGATATGGTTGGAATTGCATCTACTGGATCTGGCAAAACATTGTCTTATATACTTCCAGCTATCGTCCATATTAATAGCCAACCTAAACTTAGTCGTAAGGATGGTCCAATAGCATTGGTATTAGCACCGACAAGAGAACTTGCTCAACAAATACAACAAGTAGCGGATGACTTTGGCCATTCGTCGGGTATAAGAAATACTTGTTTGTATGGTGGTGCACCTAAAGGTGCCCAAGCAAGGGATTTAGATAGCGGTGTAGAAATAGTCATAGCTACACCTGGTAGATTATTAGATTTCTTAGAATCAGGAAGAACTAATTTGAAAAGGTGTACATATTTGGTACTTGATGAAGCGGATAGAATGTTGGATATGGGATTTGAACCTCAAATTCGAAAAATTATTGAACAAATTCGACCGGATAGACAAACTTTAATGTGGTCTGCTACTTGGCCGAAAGAAGTGAAAAATTTGGCAGAAGATTTTCTCAAGGATTATGCACAAATCAACGTTGGTTCTTTACAACTTGCTGCTAATCATAATATTTTACAAATAATCGACGTTTGTCAAGATTACGAAAAAGAAAATAAGTAAGGATTGATTTGATTTTATTCTCTTTCAAATTTTATGTATAACTTTATTAATTATTTACTTATCACAGATTGAGTACACTTTTGAAAGAAATTATGGCAGAAAATGAAAATAAAACAATAGTATTTATTGAGACCAAACGTCGTGTAGATGAAATAACTAGAAAGATGAAACGTGATGGTTGGCCAGCTGTTTGTATCCACGGTGACAAGACGCAGCAAGAAAGAGATTGGGTATTACAAGGTATAAATATTAAATATTAATTGAATTTAATTTTAATAATGAAATCATTATATATCATATAAATAAATATTATATTTTAATTACAGATTTTAGATCGGGCAAAGCACCTATTCTTGTCGCAACAGATGTAGCAGCACGTGGTCTTGGTAAGTTAATAAAAATCTTCTTTAGTTTTATAACAGAATAAAATAATAGTATGGTAATAATTATCAGTCATTATTAGTTTATTATATACAAAGGGGATTGATAATAACCAAGGCAGTAAATCACAAGTTAATCTTATTTTTTTACTGGAAGAGTATTTATGCAATGCGCTCTTCTAGTTAAACAATTTAGTAGGAAAGAGTATAGTATCTTATTATTAGAGTAATAAACAAAACAAAAAGTAATAATATGATATGTTATAATTAAATTATTTATTAAAAAGCTTATTTAGAAATTGTAAGTATTTTGCTAATAAACAAACATGTATGTATATATATATATATATATATACAAAATTGAATTATACATTGAACTATAGTATGAATTAGCAAAAAAAAAATATATATATATATATAGAAAAATTTGCTGCCTCTGAATGTATATAGTGGTATATGTTGATATATATACATAAAAGTAAGATAATTAAATTGAATTAAAAAAATAAAAAAACAAAAGGATTCGTATAAGCATATAGTAAAATATAATAGAATATAGTAGGAGGAGAGAACAAAAGATAAATATTGTAGCTAACGCGGCTGGATGTTTGTTTGCATTGCAGAGGCACATTGCGCGCAGTCCCACGCCGGGTAATGCAAAGCATATTGGGGGTGCCCGCCGCCTGAATGTTCGGTGGTGCACTAGTTTGCATTGTCTGCGCTGGCTGCGGCGCCGTGCCTCTATCCGTCAATAACGTGAAGGGCCAAGTCCGGGCCATATCGGAACACCTACTTTACTACCTACATACTGGATATCTCAGTCCTACGCTGTGCTGTACGCCATCTGGGCTGACCAGGTCGTTATTGCCAGAATAGTGTCCCCTGCGTTGGCTGCTCGAGCTAATCAGACCCAACAACGGTCCGATGAGGCGGTGGCATGAATAGCAGATGCCAGAGCCTCAATGTGCCCTGTAGCAACAGAGCGGCGGAGGCTGTTGTAGCTGGAGCGAGCACAAACAGCCAGGCCCTGCCCGTACGTTGCTAGCGACACTCGCCCACTGCCTAATTTTATAGTATGATTTATAGTCAAATCAACTTTATCAATATATATATATACGTTTACATATATAAAAATACTTATGTACGTATATATATATATATTTATATATTTATATACATTACACTATCTCACACAAGAACACACATTAATTGCATACACATCATATATACATATATACATATATATAGAGAGAGAGATTTATACATATATGTATACATATACATACAATATTTATATTCCTTTCTAAACTACTTACTTACTTGCATTTCCTTATTTTCCTCCTTCTTCTTCTTCTTCTTCTTCTTCTTCTTATCTTCTTCTTATTCTTCTTCTTATTCTTCTTCTTCTTCTTCTTCTTCTAATCTAATTGTAATAACTATTACACCTCCTATCATCATTATCATATTTTTGTATAACTAACTACATTTGAAAGTTCATCATTCTTTAGTAAATATCCACATCCATAACTTTTGGTACAAACTTTTTCTAATATCCGACATCTATTTTCTCTATCCTTTTAGATTGATATCGTCGTCTCTGAAGCGTACACATCAGATATATATACATATATATATCTAATTTACATTAATTATACAATTCATTAGTTTTTATTATGTTTTTGTACTTCGATATATTTATCTGAATTTTATAATATGTATACATATATATAAGTATTATTATTTATTTTCTTTTTAATTTATTTAAATTTTTAAATATTTTTACTTCTTAAACGCTCTCTAAAAAAAAAAGTATCATTAAGTATTTATTTCATTTTCTTTTTTTTTTCTCTTCTTCAGACATTGTATATTTTATTTTATTATATTTTTTTTTTTTTAAGTATTAAACTTTGATGATAATTTTGATTATATTTATTTGCAAAAAAAAACAATCAATTATTATATATATATATATTTGTTTTGGAGAGCGTATTTAAAGTTTTTCACTCGAATTATAAATACAATTCTATTTTCGAAGTATAAAAATCAAAATATCGGATGTGCAGTGTATTTCATTTGTTGTTACACTGCTATATATAACAAAGAGATATATGTTTTGATAAATATTCATTAAATATAATAAAAAAAACCATAGTAAGGCTAATGTAAATCCTTCATTTCAGACGTTGAAGACGTCAAGTTTGTTATCAACTTTGACTACCCTTCTTGTTCAGAAGATTATGTTCATCGAATTGGACGTACAGGTAGAAGACAGAAAACTGGGACTGCATATACATTCTTCACACCTAATAATTCTAACAAGGCTAATGATTTGATTCAAGTATTAAAGGAAGCTAATCAAGTTATCAATCCTAAACTTATGGAACTTGCAGAAGGCAAATCAGCTGCTTATGGAAGGCACAGAGGTTGTTATCGTATCGATAAGAATATTTCTTAATTAATATACATTATACAAGACGATTACAATGTATATTATAAAACAGGTGGAAGAAATCGATGGCGAACTAGAACAGGAGGTCGTAATGGTAAAGAACGAAGTTATTCCAGAAGTAGAAGTCGAAGTCATAGCAGAGAAAGAAACGGAAGAAATAATCGTCGAAGTTATAGTCGTAGTTATACACGTAGTCGTAGTCCTATTAATAATCGTACAGGTAAGTGAAATCTTTCTTTTATATACATAATGACTTCAAAAAAAATAATCTACGAAGTTGAATTGATTAAAATATAGAAGTTAATCCATTTGGGTTGAAATAGATCGGTTTATTTTTTTCAGAAGTCATCGGAAAAAGTTATTGGAGTAGCGAGAGATGATTAAATAACTCGTAAGCTAATATATACATATATATATACATATATATGTATATATAAATACATGTAAATTTTTACATCTGTTGTAAGATGAAAATAATGTATGTGTGTACGCATGTGTGTACGTATGCGTGTGCGTGTAATACATATGTATTGTAAAATCTTCATTAATTAACGATAATTATGATATTATCGTTTATATACGTATATAGGTATGTACTTTATAATAGAGTATACTATTTAATATTAATTCAACGTGAATCTCTCATCTATTTCATACTACGTTTTTATTTATCATATTATATTTATACACGGTAAATATTTTAACAAATTTTTCTAACAAATACTTTTGTTACAGAATACTTTTGTACTGTAACTAAGTATTTGTTATAAAACAACAACAACAACAAAAAAAAACAAAAAATATATATATAATATTAATAATAACAATAATAATAATAATAAGACAATATTTGAACATTAATATGTTCTATAATTAATAACAATTGATTTGAGAGATGGTTTTAGATTGAAAAAAAAAAACGAAAACTTCATTGTTGGATAAAATTCAAGAAAGAAACAACAAATTTATATATATAATATAAAAAATTGTAAATTGTATTTTTAAAGAAAATTTATTTAAATTTATTTAAGATTATGCTTTTTCTCGTGATAATAACATTTTTTTCGTATATATATATATATATATATATTAACATTCGAACAAATAATGAAAAAAAAAATTGATAGATTATAATATATTATAAACTTCTTAATCTAACATCGAATTAATTATTCATTATAATAATATATAAACAGTATATTAATTTTATAAAAATAATGATTAACGCTGTGTAAACGCATTATTAGTTAGTCCAATAATTTTATCTTTCTATATATATATATATTTATTTATCTTTTTTTTGTTTTGAAAGTACATATTATAAATTTCAAATAATAACATTAATAATATAAAGCAATATACACACACACACATGTGTTACACAATAGAAGACCTATTAATAAAATTATAATCAACAATAATATTATATATATATATAAAGTTAAACTATTTTATCTTTTTATTTCTTTTTAAATCAAATAATTTCCTCTTGTGTTTTACTAAAGCACTCTTTTGCCAATTAAACTTTTTAAACAAAATATATATATATTAAAAAAAAAAAAAAAATACAGATTAACATTTCCTTGGAATTATTTTTTTTTTACATTTATATCAGAACCCATATGATTTTCTTTCTTCTTTTCTTCAAATTTAAGTTCCAAGTTTCATATATATATATATAAATATATTTATCTGATATAAAATATAATTTTTTCTGTTGATTGCATTAAAACTCATATTCTATAGATGTAACATTAAAATAAATTATGCATCTGTTACACCTTGAGCTGCCAATTCAGCTAGAGTTCTTTCGAGGTAACTTGTGTCAGGATAGCCATGACCGGACTTAGATGGACCTAATTCAGTCTTATGATGAATTTCATTCCACGTTATTACATCTTCACGTCCGGTAGTTATAGATCGTCCAATAGTGAATATCAGTCTTCGTTCGAATGCAATTTGTAACAGTCTTAATACCCTACGACCTAAATTATTATCCGGTAAATAACAAACTCTAGGAAAACCGACAGCATAATAAGCTTGTCCAGGATTTGGATGTTCCGGTCCTTGAATTCCAGATGGAATACTGAAATAAAATATAAATAATAGATTATTATTAAATATAAATTTGTAAAAATCTGATATCATTGCACTTACTCATATGTTATTTGTATCGTATTAGTATTTGGAAAGCCTGGTAAAGATCTTGGTATCCTTGTCCAATTCATAGTACCTGGTGGTTGATTACCCCTCTTTTCTCCATATATTAATCTACACACTGGACATTGTATGTACATTGGTGCTTGTTGACAACTAAGCATTGCATTTAAACATGCCAAATGTAATCTATGTTTGCAACGAGTTAATTCTACTGTCAGAGGTTCAGGACTGCCTAAACATACTGGACATGAATCAGAATCATCACTCTCAACTACTTTTACATATTGAGATATTACATCTGACGTTGTTGTATCTACACCTGAAATAATAATCATTGTATATTATTAATTATACATTTATTAGTTATATTTTGTTATAGTTAAATTGTAACTTACCAAAATTAGATTCTTTAAATGCATCATCGCTTCCTACACTACTGTCTAATAAATCAACAGGATTTTCATGACTCAAATAAGTTGAGACAGTATCAACACTAGGTCTACGACCACTCTTCGTACTACTTGAATCAACATCCAAAACACTGTCCCATGTTTTAGTTTTATCAGAAGTTTCAACAGTTGCGATGGAATCATTATTATCAATGTTATGTTTATTACTAAATATGTTAAAGTTATTTAAAATAACTCTAGCAATATTGGAAGGTCCAGTATCACCATTTTTACTCTACAAAATATACAATTTAAGGATATAGAACAAAATATTCAAATCTATTATAATAAAATATATAAAACCTACTTTTTTATTATTCTTTTTGGTACTACTGTTAGATGTTTTCTTATGTATCATTTTATTGGAATTTTTAACAGTTACGGTGGTACACTTTTTTCCAGTAGCAATTTGTAATTCTTCGAGTGCTACTTTGACCAATGGATATGGTGCTTGTTGAACACGACGTATCGGTCTTACATAGCCAGTACAACAACGAACTTGAGTAAGATTACAGAAATTGATAATATATGGAAAACCTAAATAAGTTTTAGAAACATCGATGGTTTTATCTCCCTAAAATTGAAAATAATATATACTTAAAGTTATTTAAACTTGTATTAATATTTCGTTCTATTTTATGGTTTACCCGTGCCCAGGCTTCTTCGATAAGACATTGTACTTCCATATCATAAGTATGCCAATCATCTGTATCACCAACCCATTCCCATTTAGCACCTTTCCCAGCTGGTGAAACTGGATGATAAAATTTTCTTCTAACGTTATGTGCATCATCTCCATCATCACTGCATTGCATCTTGGTCTTTAAATTGATATAATACCTGATACAAATTAATAATAATACATAAAGTATCTCACTGACAATTAATGGTAACTAAATCAACGCATCTGGTTCATGTATGACATTTAAAAAATATTTTCTCTTGAAAAAATGAAAAATGAATGAATTGAAAAACCTTTCCAAATTGGGATCAGCATCATTAAGAAAAACTCTTGTTAATTTTTTACAATGTGCTCTTTCAAGGTGTTGAGATACTGCTGGACTGTATGGTCTCCATCGTCCATGACGATTTTCCCATTCCCAAACAACAACAGCATGACCATGTTCTTGCCCGTGTCCATTCATTTTTACATTAAAGAATTTTACACATTAATACTACGCACACCGATGCAATAGTAACGTGGGAACATTTTCAAGTTTCCCACGATCACTTTACAAGGATATATTCGCGTTAATTAGATTTTAGACAAATTTCTTTTGGAACAACTCAAATTTCAAAAACATTCTTTAACATTCTTTAACATCGATCTTTAGAAGAAGAAAAAAAAAACAAATATGTATTAATAAAAGAAAAAAATTAATCCCGTTTACAAACTGATCGAATATAAAACCGCAGAACGGCCAGCGTAGTTTTATTTGACGTAAAAACTAGAATGCGCTTTCAGCGCTATCTGAGGAACCAAAATGGCAGATATATAAATAACCTATACATATACACAAATTAAATGTATTACTAGTAATTATATTATTTATATTCTGTTTATTTATATTACGAACATACAAATAATTTTAAAATTGTAATAATTAGTTCTTTAAAATTACAACAATTAAGTAAATATTATAATAGAAAAGGAAGATTGAAAATTCGCGCTATTTTAAAATCATATGGTTGGTCATGTGACATATACTGTCAAAGTCGAAACACAAATTTCTTCGAATAAAAATATATTCAAATAATTAATTAAACATTTGTTTATAGACAATTTTTAAATATTTTTTGTATTTACATTTGTGTTTTTTTTTTCTTATTAGAACGATAAACGACGTTTTACTTTCATGAATAAAAAATTTTAATTTATGTCATTATTTTTTTGTTCAAATAAATTTTAAATGAAATTAAATGTTAATATAATACATGTATTGTTTAGGAATAATTAAGTATTAACTTTAATTTAATTAGAAATATAAGATCATTAAGAAGTTTATCTTGAAAATATGTCGGTAAGGTTGGTATCATTGCGTAAGCACTGATCTTGGATCTGCACGTCGTACTTTAACGTATTATGCCGAAATGAATTGTGAGAAACAAGCGATTGGATTTAATTTAACAATAATATCATTAGATTTAAAGTAATATATTATTGGTGTAAATAATGTGAGCGTATTATTGATCAAAAGGAAGAACAATCATTCAGTGACATATAATACATTCATAATAATAAAAAAAAATTCACATAGAGTGAAGGTATAATAACTGTTGCAAGAGGATTTTGGAAAGGCGATTTATTCATTTAATTATTATTATTATTATTTTTATTATTATTGTTATTATTATTATTATTATTATTATTATTATTATTATTATTATTACTTTAGTTAAAATTTCTTGATGAACGTCAAAAGTAAAAGGAAAAAAGAAAAATTATTTTTTTAAATATGTCTAATGATTTTATTTGTTGGATGATGACCGACGCAAGTATAATTTTTAAATTTAATTAAAAACTTAAAAAGAATAATTATTATAAAAGAAATTACTTATTTCCATAACTAAAGATGATGGACATAGAACGAATAGTCATGTTTGCTGGTGTGGGTCTAGCAGTAGCAGTTGGAGTATTTATATTATGGGGTCCATCTCCTAAACCAAGAAGAAGAGGTAATTTATAATTATAGTTGAACATTTGGATAATTATAAATAACATCAACACTTATTTATAATATCATTAAACCATTAAATGTATTCAATATTAGGTAAAGTTGTCGGCATCAGTAATCTAGGGTACACGTGCTTTTTAAATTCCTTGTTACAAGCACTGGCTGCTTGTCCAACTTTTATTACCTGGCTTCAGAAACAACGAGAGAAAAACAACAAGTGCCAGTTTACAACTGCTTTGGTTTCTGTCTTTGAAAGTACGATGTAAATTTGATATTTTATCTATTCTATGTAATATTAATTATTTGTAAAACATATGATATTATATTTGGCTAGAAATCAATGGTCACACAGATGACTTGTATGGAGATGTAACAACCATTGAAATAATAACTGCGCTTGGTTCTCAATGGAGTTTTGCTCCTGGTTATCAAGATGCTCACGAATTGTTTCACATACTATTAAATGCGTTACAGGCAGAAATTCAAACTGTTAACAGAGTACGAGTATTAATTATTTATAATTTGAATAAGTATTATTATACAATATATAATTTGCAATAATAATTATTTTAGAGTTGATTGAAATATTTGTATTGTTGTTACAACAGCAAGGTTGTCTATCGGATGCATTACCAAGAAATTCTGTAGTCGTGATGGATCTTAAGAATTCTGGAGATCAGATAGGATTTAGAAGTGTATCTTGTAATGATATAGTATCTGCCGAAAGAAATCCTAATTCTATAAATGGTTTTGATTCAAATTGTAACAATCATATGACAATATCGACACCATCTATATCATCTCATATACCTTCTGAATACAAGCCTGGTAAAATTTTGGATAGATCTTCGGAAATGTTATCACAACTTAAAAGATACGATACTGAAAATGAAGAACCCATATGGAATTATCTTTGTAAAGTATCAACCTATTTACCACCTATTTGGAACGAAGTACATCCATTTTCTGGATTACTGACTAGTCAATTGCAATGTATTAATTGTAATTGGAAGGTTGGTAAACATTTAACTTGATTTATTTTATCAATAAACAATGTGTTTGTAATTATATATTATTTTTGCTTCAGACTCCTGTACGCTATGATAAACTTGAAAGTATTTCTTTACCATTACCTGCTTTTGGTCCAGTACTTCAATGGAAACATTTAACTCTAATAGAATTATTTTCACGTTTTGTAAGTAGCGAAGTAGTTCATGATGTAGAATGTGACGGTTGTGCGTCACGTTGTGACGCTGTTAAAACATTAACTCTTGGAAAATTACCTAAATGTTTGTGCATACATATACCGAGAACTACTTGGAGTTCCAGTGGAAGACCGATTAAGAGAGACGATGCTATTCTTTTTTCTGTTACTTTAATTTTAGATCCATTTACTTTTATAGAAGCAAAGAAGAGACTTGCTAAAGTAAGTTCAACGTTTTTTGTTATAGGAAATATTTCAAAAAAGAAGATATAATAATTATAATATATCGTTTGTTTATATATAATTTAGGGAGATGCTCAAGCAATGTTACTTCTTACAAATCAACAATCAACTTATGGTAAACATAAGTATCAACTTCAAGCAGTGGTAGAACATCGTGGATCAGTGGATGCTGGCCATTTTGTATGTTACAGACGAGGAACTAAACCTGGCCAATGGCTTTATACGTCAGATTCTACTGTCGAACACATATCGTTGACAGACGTCCTTCGTGCCAGTCCTTATCTTTTATTTTATGAAAGAATTCATGAATTGAACCCGTAGTTAGGAACAAATTAAATTCGAAATTGTTAAACAAGACAAAAGAAAAAATTAATAGTGATCCTTATTCAAGTTTTCATATTAATAATCATTCCTATAGTAAATTCATTCATTTTTTGGGTCCAGTATTAATAATTATGATAAATAATTATATTGTTAAGAAATCCTTCAAATTTTGTCTAGGTAAATCAGTTGGGATCACCATTGTGCCATAATTCTTATTAGAATTAACTTAAATTATTACTCTTTATATAGATCTCATATAATTAACACAGTTAATTTGAAGAATTAATATTAACAACAAATATATAAAATAGAAAAGAAAATACAGGAAGAAGAATAGTAATGCAAACGTTCATGTAATGTTCATATGTATATTTTGATTACGAGATAGATACAGATTATTATTATTATTATTAATATTATTATTATATTATATTATATTATATTTAACTAATAGACACAAATATTTATAATTTATCTTAAACTTCATTCCAAAATCAAGAAATTTTTCTGATTAGATATATTCCGTTGTGGAATAGTTTTTTGAAAATAGTATTTAAAGCAAGGATATATTAAATGCAAAAGAGTAAATTAGAATATTAATTCAGATGCATGACTTCATAAAATAATGCCTTCTATATGCTAATATAAATTCAGTACTAATTGTAAGGCTTAATTAATGTAACTAATTAAATATTGTGCCAAATGAAGATGCACATTTTGTATAATATCATAATATAATGTAAAAAATAATGTAACCCAGTAATTAGCGAGGATAATAAGTTTTACAATATTCATTGTTTAGCGTTAGATTTAGATATATAGTTTTTAACAAGACTTTAACTAAACAAAAAACAAAAAAAATTAAATGACTAAGAAGATTGAAGATTATTGGTGCTGTAAATTATTTGATCAATATGATGTGTATTAAGAAAAATGGCTTAACAAATCTTGAAAGAATATTTTGTTAATGCATTGGACAAAATGTGACATAATTTATTAGAAATCTTTGAATGATTTTGTATGTTTCTTTGTTATATGTTATTATTACATATGTGTTTAAAAAAAGATCTCAGTAAATTAATGAAGATTAAACAGCTACAAGTTCTGCGTACCTTCAATTTTCTTATTTTTCGTTGTAGATATAAAATTACATTTTTATATATATATATATTTATATAGATATATGTATTATAATGATAATTATTAAAATAAACAGATTATGCAGGGTAGTATAGAAATAATGTAGAGAGTTTATAATGATAATAGTCTTTATATATAAAGAAAATAAAATCTCATTCAGAATATATATATATATATATATATACACATATTATTAGAATAAAAGAAATACAGTCAAGAAATACTTGTATTTATCCTTTTTTTTTTTAAGGAGACATTTAAATCTTTTTTCATAATAATTAAAATCCTGAAACAATACACTACAAAGTTTATATAATAATTAATTATTGTATAATAAATACATTATCTAAATGCAATTTAAATAATTAAATATGCGATTAGAAAATATATCGATTTAACATATCGATAGTATAACAATGATGCGATTGGTCAATCGATTTATCAAACTATTACATCTGATTGGCTGATGGCTTCGATAAACTCGAAAATATTTTGGTTCACGTTGTTTGAGGTTGCATTTCCGTTACAAAAGATGCAGGAAAGTTAATTAAACATAAAAGTTGTATATATATATTTACATAGTATTATATTTATATAATGTTATATTTATATACAACTAAAATAATCATTTTAACAATTGCACAGTGAAAAAACGTAAATTAAATTTCAATCTTTTGTAAAAATGTCTAAATTGTGTATGTAAATGTGTGTTTATTGTAATGTCTATGCATTGATTTATTTCAACATAAATTTCATTAGCAGTTAAATCGTTTAAACAAAAAATTAATACATTTTAAAGGATTATTTTAATCAATTATAATAACAATGCCACATTTCGTCAAAAATAAAAGAATCATGGTAAGCATACAAAAATCAAATTAGTAAGTTGTTTTATATAGGTTATGTCTATTACCACATGTATTGATAAAAATGTACATTGCACGCAATAGATTTATATTTAGATTTATTTATCTATATATAATATCTGTTATAATAATTACAATAATAATAATATTTTATATATATTAATGTAAATTTATATTTGCATACAGGGAACTGACATGAGTGATATTACTGCAGATTTTGCTTGTCTTAAAGTATCTGCTTTAGGAAAAGCTTCACGTATATCTGGTGAAATAAACCGTATTACAATTGGTCCTAATTCCGTATCAAATCAAGATGAACTGAAAAAATTAGAAAATATTGAAAATGAACAAAATACTTGTAACGTTAATACATGTTCACCTCGAAAATCTGTCGAAGAATGTAAGAACAAGAATTTAACAACACGTAATGGCATTACATTTTCGATAAAAAAAATCTTACACGAAGAGGAATTACAAAGAAGAGAGAAAGTTATGGTAAATTTGTTTGTTAATAAATAATTATTTAAAATATCATTTATTATGTTATCTAGATACTTTAACAAAAAATGTAATTAAATAATTGATTTTTCTATCTTATAGAAAGAAGTACAACGTAAATGGCAACACATGGCAGACAATGTTACAGCTATACAGAAACATATTTCCATATCGTATTCAAAAATGGTTAAAGAAAGAGAACGCAAAAGTGCACAGAAGTATGCTGATATATTAGCTGAAGAAGAACGTTTAGCTGAACAGGAAGAAATAATAAGAAAACATGAACAACAGTTAAATGCTCAAAAAGTTCAAGAACATAATGAAAAGATGAAACGCGATATAGAAGAATATAAAAGGAGAATGAAGGAAAAGGAAGATTTGTTTTCAAAGATAATGTTACTTAGACAAGAATTTGGTGTTAAATATTATGATTTTATAATGCTTTCGAGAAATTGTACGGATAAAACTATTCTAACTAATTTTTCCGTCACGCATTCGGCCGTTTTAAAACAATTGTATCGACAAATTGAGACATTGGATGGAAAAATTCAGGTTTTTATTATTTGATATAAATTCTAAAACTAATCCTTTCCTATTAAATTTAATTTTTAATATTTAATAACGTTTCAATTCATGAATGCATCGTTTTTAAATAGTTTAAGAAATAGTTTTAGATCCTTTTTCTTTTATCACCCTGTATAATAATATAATTTAATACTTTTAATACTCATTCATTTTTGTTATTTGCACTTTAAACAGGCAGAAGATTTGGTGCCCACAGATGTTTGTAATTTGGAAACAGCAATACAACAGATAATAGAAATTTCATGCTTATTAAAAGTAACTCTAGGTTTGTATTTTTTATTATTAACATTATATTAATATTCTTAAACATTAATAATAATAATAATAATAATAATAATAATAATAATCAATGTTATTTATACTTGTAGATAATGCAGAGGTAAATAAAGAAATTCCTGAACCAAGTACAGAAGAACAAAATACAAATTTAAATCAGACAGAACCATCTCCAACAGAAGAAGTTGTAACAGTTTATGAACCTCCAATTCCAGAACAAACTGATTACGATGTAGACAAAAATATAGACAACAATCAAGTTGAAGAAATTGTTCCGGAAACCATTCCAGAATCCGTTCCAGAAACTGTTCAAGAAACTGTTCAAGGAACTGTTCAAGAAACTGTTCAAGAAACTGTTCAAGAAACTGTTCAAGAAATTACTCAAGAAACTATTCACGAAACTGTTTCTGAAACCGTTCCAGAACCTGAACCAGAAACTGTTCCAGAGGAAGCAGCTCAGATAACAGAAACATCTATTAACCAAGAAGCTAATACTGAAAATAATTCAAGTTTAATATCAAGTGTGTCCTTACAAGAAATAGAAGGTATTATACAGTTTTTTTTTAATTATTTAGTTTCATATATCAGTAACACATTTTGATGTTCCTTTTTTTTTATAGATAATTTATATAAATACGTCGATAAAGAATCATTACAAATTTACATTGAAAGTCAAGAATTTTTGGAAAATTATTTAAAAATTTATGACGAATTTTTAAAATCATCTAATACAAAAACATTTAGATTCGAATGTCAAAAAGCAATAAATATTCCTGTCAATGCAATTTCCGTAATCAATGCCCAACATCTTAAAGATAAATATGAAAAATTGCACAATCTTCTAATGGGAAAATCATCACCTAATATAAATCAGCATCCACATGGAAATGCATTTTGTAAAGACACTTTAGCCAAAAAAATAGTGGTAGGTCATTTAATTCATTTGAATTTATTCATTTACCTCAATAAATTATTTTTAATAAAGTTTTTATTTAATTATTTATTTAAACAGAGCCAAGGAGAAACATTGGTTTCGAGTAAACCAGAAATGGCATTCGCTATAGCAGCTGTAACTGTAGCACTTTGGAATGAACACGCTGATTTTGGTGAACTACTTTTAGCACATTTCCATCAAATTTGTCCTTTTACGGTACCAGTATTTATGCCCAAAATAGAAGGACAAACCAACGAGGAATATTACAAATCATTGGGTTACAAATATTCAGAAGATGGTACTGTCGAGAAACAGGATAAATTTTTGAAAAGAATGTCTGGATTAATGAGATTGTATATTTCTATAACGATAACATCGCAAAGAAAAGGAATTACAAAAAGACACCCTCATGGGTTACGATATGCATGGAGGTGGCTCGCAGCTATTTTGAATAGTGGTAAAGTTACATTTTTATTTTCTCATTTTATTATTATTCTTATTCTTCTTCTTCTTCTTCTTCTTATTATTATTATTATTATTGTTATATTCTTGTTATTATTATTATTATTATTATTATTATGATTATTGTTATTATATGTTTAGAATTTCATAATTGATCATTCATTTGTTAATCTTGTTATATTTTATTTTTCATATTTTAATAGAATCTCATCCAAACACGTTGGAACTTTGTGTCACTCTTATTTTGGATGTATTAGAAGTTGCAGGAAATTCTCTTTGCAATGCTTATGGCAAACAATTTCGTAAAATGTTAATGTTATTGGCTCACGACATATATCCTCGTGTACAAAACACCGATGGCGTAAGTGGTGGACCATTGGTACGTTTAGAAGAATTTTTAAAGATAACATTAGCCAGAGGTTTCATACCACCACCTAATGGATATCTCGATCAGAATTTTTGGTAAATTTAATGATAAATTAATCGTCTTGCGTGAACATTGTGCATTGTGTCATAACTTATATTATTATTAAGAAAAAAAAAAAAAAAAAAAAAAAANAAAAAAAAAAAAAAAAAAAAAGACAAAGAAAAAAGAAAAAAAAATTAAGAAGAAGAAAAAGAAGAGGAAGAGGAAAAAAATGGTGAAAAAAAAAATAACAAGAAAAAAATATACAAACAAACAAACAAACAAACAAACAAACAAACAAACAAACAAACAATGCGGATAATAGATCTTTATAATAATTACATTTATTTGATAATAGAAAAATTGATATAAGTGTTTACCTTTTTTAATGATAAAATGTTGTAGTAAACTGTAAGATTAGATTTAATACAGTTTAATGTATAAGCAAGTTTAGATTTAATAATACGCTCCTCTCGTAAAGACAGGTTTGACATCAGAAAATACATAATAGTCTAATGTATTAGCAGCAAAACCTGTTATTCCAAAAGGTGCTAGTTTCATCATCCATGACGCATCTTCATTACAATTAAGTAGATAGGATGTTAACTTTTTTACAAAAGACCCTGTAAAAAGCAATATATAAATAAATAAATAAATAAATGAGAGAGAGAGAGAGAGAGAGAATGAATGAATGATAAAGAAGAATAAAAAGTATAATACAACAGTTAGTTATGAGATAATAATAATGATGATGATAAATGAAATTATAATAAAGAAATACACGATGCACCGATGATTATATTTTATTTACAAATATTTTTCTCTTACCAGATATTTTTTTATTAATCATAAAACGATATGGCGGTAATGGTCCCAAACTGTCAACTATATAAAGCGATTGTATGCCTGGAAAATTGTACTTATGACATGTTATTACAGGAGCTTCCAAAATACCAACTTCTGCTTGTTTACCAGCAACCATTTGCATAGCATCTATTTGTGAATCAACATCTGAAAAAAAAAAAAAATATAGAAAAATATTTCATTTCAATACTTTGTTTGTAATTATAATTTGTATTATAATATATACAAAGTTTTTTTATATTAACCTAAAGTATTGCCAAAAAATGCAGGACCTTCTCCTATGCTATGCAAATAATTGTATATCAATGTAGCAGCTCCTATATTTTTACTCCTATCTGGTAAAGCGCATCTATGTCCACGTAAATCAACAATTTTCTGTTAATGAAAAGCAATATTATATAACGTATATACATATGAAAATTTGTTAAAAAAATTTTGAAACAAAAAAAAAAAACTATGTCAAATTTATAAATTTACTTCGATGCGATGTACAAGATCAGATGCTACAACAACATCGGCATAAACTTGCGGAGAATTATTATTGTTTAGCTTATGTTTGAATACAAAAGACACTGGCATCAATTCACCATTTTCCCAATCATCACTGGCTGGCAAAATAGCTGAAATTAATTGGTACATTTTTATATGATTTTATATATATTTACTTTTATATATATATATAATATATTAATTATTTATATATATTAATACATATTATAATATATATATATATATATATATATATATATATATATATTAATAAATATACTTATTTAGATTTTTATAAATAAAAGTATATAAAAATATAAACCCATTATTAAACTATTTGCATTGTAACAACAAACGTGAGACTTGTGATTTGTTTTATAATTTACAATTAAACATAAGAAATGAGTAAAATATAGTATCAACTTTAAAATACAATTTTGTGTAAATTAAATTATAGTATAAACAATTAATAAGTATATTTATTATAATATACTATATGTATTTGAAATTTACCGATATCAGTGTATTCACTGGCAACTTTTCTATTAGTTCTAGGCTCATATAAAAGAACTACAGGCCTTTCTGTTGCCACTTCAATCATTTCAGCTAATACTTCAAATAAACCGATTGGTAATGATGGTACTAAATGCGTTGCTAATACGATTGGAGGCTGATTGCTAATTGGTGGTACATAAGGTTGAATTTTTCTTGGTACAGCTACATTCGAAGGTGTAGTTGGTTTCTACAAATATATTTAATAATAAACAAAATATAAAGGGTGTTCTATTAACTGGTACAGAATGTTAACTGATTACAGAACACTTTGTGTGTTAAATCATATTATTAATTTTATTCAATTCTAAAAAGTAAATTATATTAACTTACATTTGTATCGATGAAAAATAGTTTACTTTCTTTCGGTTTCTATAAAAAAATAAAAATATTGATAAATGAGTTAAATATCAATTTAATTTAATTTAACTTACAGTTTTTTCTAAGCTAATAGATTCATCTTTCTTT